TCGCGGAGGAACAAGACACTGCATTCGCTCACAAAATGGCCGTTGATCGTCATGAGTCAAGTCACAGCTTCCATTCATGAGTCAAGTCACAGCTTCCATTCCTGAGTCAAGTCTCAGCTGATCTGCCAGAGCCTCGTCACGTCACAGCTGATCATCCAGAGTCACGTCACATCACAGCTGTTAGTCCAGAGTCACGTCACATCACAGCTGACCTTCCAGAGTCACGTCACATCACAGCTGACCTTCCAGAGTCACGTCACATCACAGCTGACCTTCCAGAGTCACGTCACATCACAGCTGATCATCCGGAGTCTTGTCACGTCCTGTCTGTTGCACCCAGATTATCAAGGTCAGTCCCTCGGTATCCCAGTCTGCTATCCAGTGTGAGGGATGCACCGCTGGTGTCTGCACACGCAGCTGGTATCCCCAAACCCTCTCACTATAGCCCTCCTGTTCCTGAACTGATTCCCCTGTCTGCAGCGCTTCCCGTGATAGGGATTGGTGGATATTGGTGTATTTGGGCTGCATACATCACCACAGAACCTCCTGAGGTGGTGGCGTCCACAATGGTGTCTCCAGAGATGGCGGCTGAGGCTGCAGAACCTCCCGAGGCAGCACTGCTCGCTTCAGCTCCTTGTATGGTGGTGGCGCCCAGCAATACACTTTTAGCCCGTCATGTCATGGTCGAAGGAACCGTAGATGAACACTGTACCTGTCCTGTCAAGGAGGATATTAATGAACTCTACCCATTTCCTGATGTTACTACTGTAGAACCTCCAGAGGTGGCGGCATCTGCTGCAGAACCTCCAGAGGTGTCAGTGGTATCCACTTATAAACTCTCGTCCTGTTCTGTTCTGGCCAGGGAGGCCATCTGTGATCCCTTTGCCTGTCATCCTATCATGGCTATGAAGGACGTCTGTGATCCCTTTGCCAGTCCTGTAACGGCTATGGAGGCCGTCTTTGAATTCTCTGCCTGTCCTGTAACGGCTAAGGAGGCTGTCTGTGAACTCTCTGCCCGTCCTGTTCAGGCCAAGGAGGCCGTCTGTGAACTCTCTGCCTGTTCTGAACCAGCCAAGGACGCTGTCTGTAAATTTCCTAACTGTCCTGTTACGGCTATGGAGGCTGTTTATGAACTCTTGCCTCGTGTTGAACCAGCCATGGAGGCTGATTGTGAACTGTCCGTCCATCTAGTCGCAACAAATTAACCTGTTATTTGCCCCAATAGTCCAGTCACGACCCCAAAAACCTTATCTAAGCTTCCTGTAGGCTCTAGTGGCCTTGTCACAGCCCAAAGACCCACCTTTGAACATTTAACCCTGCCTGTCATAAACCCGGAAACCATAAATTAACTCTATATTTGCCCCATTACTTCTGTCGTTGCCAAAGAGACCCCTAGTGAACAGTCTATCTATCCAGTTTCCGTCAATGAGCTTGACTCTGAATTATCTGTCTGTCCAGCTTCAATCACTGAACTGTCTGCCAATCTAGTGTCACTCAATGCATCCAACTGTGAACTGTCTGTTGGTTTAAATTCTACAGTCAAATCTGATCTTGTATTGTCTGTCTGTCTTGTTTCAACGGAGTCTGACTGTGAATTTCTGTGCCGCCTGCTCTGCCCTGTTGGGCCTCTGCCCTGGTGAGGTTCTGTCCCATCTGCTCCGTTGTGGTCTTCTGCTCTGTCAGCTCTGGCCTGGTGGTCTTCTGCTCCACCGTGGAGGTCTTCTGCTCCGCCCTGGTGGGCTTCTGCTCCGCCTGCTCTGCACTGTTGTGCCTCTGCCCTGTCTGCTCCTTCCTGGTGGACTTCTGTCCAATCTGCTCCATTGTGGTCTTCTGCTCTGTCTGCTCTGGCCTGGTGGTCTTCTGTCCTGCTCTGGTGGTTTTCTGCTCTGCCGTGGGGATCTTTGGACCTGTCTGCTCAGCTGTGGTGGTACTCAGCTCCACCTGCTCTGCCGGCCCCACTCTGGCTCCCTACTTCGCTGGATCCACCCTGGTTTCCTACTTCACCGGTTCTGCCTTGGTGCTCTGCTCTGCCAACTCTGCCTCAGTCCCCGGTCTCTCCACTTCCACTTGGACCTGGCCCTCCATCCCTCCCCCTGTTCCGCCTCCGCTCCACCACCCTCCAGGATTTTACTGTTTTAGGAGCATCTGGAAGCCGATCCTTGGGGGGGGGCGGCTTATGTCACGAATCCTGTCAATGGACTTCCGTTCGATTGCCACCAGAGGTCACCCTTCCGTTACATTGACTCTCGCACTACACAAACTGTTACACATCACCCTGGACTACATTTCCCATGCTCCATTGCACTAATCACAAGCTCATCTGAAACAATCACACACAACAGAGTTTAGCTCCAGCTTGCCTCAACACACCTGCCTGGAAGTTTCTAGTATGCCTATAAGAGCTTGATTAGCTGCTTCAGGTGTGGTTGATTAGGGTTGGCGGTAAACTCTGCAGGACACCGGCCCTCCAGGACCGAGTTTGGGCAGCCCTGGTTTAGCACTTATCCCTCTTCCAGCGATAGCTACTTTACGGAGCCATTCCAAGTTTCTGAGTCTAGCCTTAGTCTTGTTCATAGTCTGTTTTCCCGTGTTTGTACCCTGTTTTCTAGTTTCGCCTGCTCTCTGCCTGCCCTGAACGATTTCGCCTGTCTGGATTTCCCCTCTCGTCTCACCCTGTTCGGATACTGGTTACCTCTCGCCTGGACTATTGCTTGTGTTTCAGATTACCCTTTTGGATTACCCTGTTTGGACATTGCTCACTGGAGTTCGACCACGCCCGTTTACTGGACTACTCTTGTGTCTTGCCCTCAATATACCTGTTTGCCATTGTTTGACCCATGCCTGTTATGACCACGTCTCTGTCTAATAAAAGCCTGCAGATGGATCCGCACATCTCACATCTCGTTCACCCCATAACAAATATAGTGTTCAAGCCAACCTAGCTATTCCAAATCTTTGTCTGCAATTTAATAATATTGAACTATTACTTTTGCTATTGCTTTTGACAATTAGGTATCAGTAACATAATTCATTCAGAACCTGTTTTATGTACATAGACTTTCTGTACCACACTATTCTGCTGCTATGGAATGAGTTTGACTACTTAATCAGTTATATTAATAGAAAAGCTTCACTGGGGCAAACAAAAAAATCCTAAAATAATAAATAGGATGAACCGCATTTCCAGCAGTATCCAACATTTCTCAATCATGATCTTACTCAACTAAATGTGACTATTAGCTTAACAGCTGTATTCCTTGTTTGCTAGCTACCTATGCACATACAGCATACAATGTAAAAAATGTTCTACATTATGAACCTTAACCCAAAAACCTTTAGCTTCATACACTGTAGATAATTGTGTCCCTGCCTGTGGAAACCCAGCTAAAGTATTTTTTTTAAACAGTGGATGAGTAATTCACTCCTTGATTTGCTTAATAAAAGCCTCCTTTGAGATCGTTTTGACAGACATGTTTATTGCGTATTATTTTCAACGTGTTTATTGCTACGTTTAGTGTGGCAAAATAGAAGCGCAGTCGTAATTCACGTGCAGTGTATCTGGTTGCCATGACAACCTCACGCGCTTCCTGCTGCTGCTCTATGTAATAAGAGTGTGAATTTGTAGATTTTCTATAGTAAAACTAAAATGTGTTTAAAAGTGTGACTGACCAAATCGTCGGGCTCGGTTTGCCCCCCCCCGAACTCGAAGACATCTCTAATTTCACAGTTTACCGTCTGATCTCACTCGTGACTCTAGGCTACGTAAGACGGGACGAAACCATGCAGTGAATGGGGGGAGATAATTTTGCCGTAAATGCAGAAATAAGCTTTAATTTTGTTTTATTTGTAACTCTTTGGCAGATACATTTATAATTTCTATTACATTACTACTACTGCTGTTACTACTAATACAACAGATCTCTGGGGGCCCCAAAAGTGTGTGGGCCCTAGGAATCGTCCTAACTCCCCCCACTTAGTGGCGCCCCTGCATACAAATATATTTACATATATATGTGTGTGTGTGTGTGGATTTAGTTTTAGTTAACTATAATAACCATTACATTTGTATAACGATCTCCATCGACGTGTATTAGATGAATTCTGAATTGTGTTAGATGGACAAAACTGACAGTGTTTTTCTAATGCGCATGCAGCCATTGTCATTGTTGCTGCCTGCTTTTATACAGCAAACTACCAGTTCACTGTCAAAACTGTAATGAGGCCTGTTTTATTCATCATGTATAAAACAACTTTAAAATTATTATTAAAATTACAATGTTATATTATAATAAAATTACTACAGCTAAAGAAATTAATAATACTTAAAAGCAAATATTTTTTAAATAATGTACACGATATAGAGTTATATCTATATCTATATCTAGTAATGGGCAGAAATAAGCTTTAATTTTGTTTTATTTGTAACTCTTTGGCAGATACATTTATAATTTCTATTACATTACTACTACTGCTGTTACTACTAATACAACAGATCTCTGGGGGCCCCAAAAGTGTGTGGGCCCTAGGAATCGTCCTAACTCCCCCCACTTAGTGGCGCCCCTGCATACAAATACATATATATTTACATATATGTGTGTGTGTGTGTGTGTGTGTGTGTGGATTTAGTTTTAGTTAACTATAATAACCATTACATTTGTATAACGATCTCCATCGACGTGTATTAGATGAATTCTGAATTGTGTTAGATGGACAAAACTGACAGTGTTTTTCTAATGTGCATGCAGCCATTGTCATTGTTGCTGCCTGCTTTTATACAGCAAACTACCAGTTCACTGTCAAAACTGTAATGAGGCCTGTTTTATTCATCATGTATAAAACAACTTTAAAATTATTATTAAAATCACAATGTTATATTATAATAAAATTACTAAATACACTTGAAATATTTCACATACACATAGCTGTACAGCTAAAGAAATTAATAATACTTAAAAACAAATATTTTTTAAATAATGTACACGATATAGAGTTATATCTATATCTATATCTAGTAATGACCTAGAAAAAGCTGGCCTGTCCCAATACCCAGACTTAAGGGCTTGTGATGTTGCATCCACAGCAGCAGGTGTCAGTATAGCCAGCAAACCAATTACCTTTAAATTGCCAAATGGTGCATCTTTTACAGTAAATTTAGTTGCAATTTTATATGCTTAGTGTTTCTAAACCAGTACTTACCTAACCTCTCACTCAAAATCAACATTCAGCATTATCTTTCAGAAATGTTTGTCGATGAAATGACACTAAGCAGGACTATGCTGCAGAGTCTTTTAGAGTATGGTCTCCTCTCTCCTCCACTCCATAGCTTCCAGTGTAGCACTTAGCTCGGCCTCTTCTTTAGCATGACGTTCCCTCACGACTGCGATTTGCTTCTCCAGTCACCACAGCTGCTCCTGGTGCTTCTTTCGAGAACTTCTGTAGGTGCTTGAAACTTTACTGTTGGAAAAAATGATTGCAATTATTCTAGCATACATGGGTTGTTGACATTTAGGTGTACACAGATAATGGTAATGCTAACTTGACACAGATAATGCTAACATTTTGTAACTATTGTAATTTTACACCACTCTGAGCGGGATACAAACCAGCATCAACTGGCATGTGGTTCAGACACACCAACAAGGATGCTCAAGACCTCTCTCCCATCCAGATCATATAAATTGGTGTTTTTGCACCGTTCCGAATGAGATTCAAATCAACATCAACTGACATGGGAATCAGGCTTACTAACAAGGACTCTAAAGACCACAGACACTAGAGTCAGTTGCTAGTCCACCTCGTGAGGCCAGGTGAGTGGGGTTTACCTAGGGTGACCATACGTGCCATTTTCCCAGGACGCGTCCTGGCCAGGATTTCTATATTGCCTAAAATATCAAGGTTTTGGCTTTGTTTGCGTGTGCAGACCGATGTATGACATCAAAGTACCATACAGATGGTTATGCTTTCGAAACGCTCTCGAGGTACTTTGATGTCAAACACTGATTGGTCTGAGTTTGGTCGACTTAAAAACGACCACTGCTTTTAAGTCGAACACAACTAATATGTACGCGTAATTGCATCGCTTTGACCGTAGATCCCACCTTCTCACACGCCATGATTGGTCCATTATGTACAATGCTTGCATGTTATTGGTCAAACTATTTTTCGATCATTACTCAAGCAAGCATGAAAACAGGAATACAAAGCAAAAACAAATCCTGGCCAGGACGCGTCCTGGGAAAATGGCACGTATGGTCACCCTAGTTTACCTGCACATCTTTACTTAGGGCTACATAATGGTTAAACAGTTGATCACAATTATTTTGCACAAAAGTATAATCACATGAGTACAAATCAAAAGAACATCAACTTGCATAGTTTGCTTTGCAGATTTCTATTGGCAGTGAGCATTTTGTGCGCCGTTTATGTGCCCCGGGCGCTTTGTGTTTTAGCCACCTACTGCACCTCGTGTTTCTGTAGGAGCTCTCTGAGTGCCTGAAGTTGAAAAAAAAAAAAAATCAACTCTCTTTTTAAAGTTTCTGCTAATATGACAGTTTCCTTAACAGCAAACCAAAGATTTTAGAGCGCTCGCGCTATAATCCTTGATTAGACTGACAGGACAGCGGATTCGGTGGAAAAACGTCCTGTCTGATTGGGACCTAAGTAAACCATTGTGCAGAAAGCGTATTGACTCATGGAAAAAGTTCTGATTGGGAGATTTAAACTGTTGACATTTGGCAACCACAACCACAAAACCTTGTGGAGTCTTGTTACCAATGATACCAATGATTAAAATGATATGTTTTTAGGATAAATAACCATCACAAACGATTATGTTTAATAAATCCAGAGATGCAGAAGTCATTATCACAATGAAAATACGATTCATCTGAACTGAACTGACTTGAGCTAAATAATGACACTACGGTCTTTTAGAGCTGCTTTACAGCAGAATCTGAACTTTATTTATACCTGTGAAGCTGATTTGACACAATCTGTATTATATAAAGGTGACTTGACAGCTCTTACCAGCCTCTGTTACATATTATATCTGTCAGGATTGTTGTTAGTGAAGAGCTTGGGACTGTAGGGCTACCGAATAGCTTTATTAGACCTTAGTCTCAGCCTCAGATGTCACGCCCACGGACCGTCGGCTGATCGTCTGATGCATACGTATGGCACACAAAACTGGAAACACTTTGGGAGTTTCGAAGTCGTCATCGGATTGGTTGAATTATACATGAATTCCGGGAGACGTGCGTGTCCCGTTCTTTAACGTTCCGCCTGGAAACAAATATTCCGTGACGCCAAACCCCCTTATGTTAGAAGCCATCATGTTGTCGACTGTGACGATGAGCGCTTATCAGGATCAACTGAACGCTGGATTTTCAAAAGTATGTGAAATATTTAACGTTCGCTGCATAGAATCTTTATAATACGTCTAAGAGTTTTACACACGGTCTGTTATTGTGGAGACATTTCCACGCCCCTAAACATGATGCGGCACAAACGTGATTGGTTGCTTTATCTGTCAGTCATATGGCCTCTTGGGCGGTCCTTGCCATTCAAAGCGGCCAAGGTTTCCAGGCCTTCTGCGGTCAGTCTGAAGGTCTGGCTACACGAGACAAATTAGACCTTGGTTGTAAATGGCGTGATCATGGGACTATATAAGTTGTTACTATGACAATCATGTGACTGCAGATACTGTACTTCTTATGCTAATGAAAGTGTTGTGATGTAGTTTTGGATTACTTGTAGTAGCGGGAGAGGCGTGCAATCTCCTCTCTGTTGATCCTCCTCTGAGTGGTGCTGTCTGCGAGCGCCGAGTCCAGCGACTCACGTAAAGCTGCCACTCTCTTCCTCGGTGACTGTTCCCTACAGCAGGAAGTAGAACATCCACAGATCAAGTCTTTTTCATGAGCGTCTGGTGTGTTTTGATGTTTTGTTCCTACCTTTGCAGTGTTGCTTGTAGTTCTCTTAGGATAGAGTGATTCCGACGATCAGGAATTCTTCCTCCACCTTCTAGTTTTACCAGATTTTCAGCAATTCTCTACAAACAAAACCAGGCATATCACTTTTCAGTTCTGTGGTGCTGTCTGCGAGCGCCGAGTCCAGCGACTCACGTAAAGCTGCCACTCTCTTCCTCAGTGACTGTTCCCTACAGCAGGAAGTAGAACATCCACAGATCAAGTCTTTTTCATGAGCGTCTGGTGTGTTTTGATGTTTTGTTCCTACCTTTGCAGTGTTGCTTGTAGTTCTCTTAGGATAGAGTGATTCCGAATAAGTGATTCCGATAGAGTGACAAGCTTTATGATAGCAAGAAGAGTTTAAGCATCTGGTAGTTCGACACATTGTAACTCACAACTTTCTGTTGACCTTCATTGAAACACAAAGGTAAGGTACATCTCCTAAACCAGGGGTGTCCAGTTATGCTCCTGGAGGGCAACCATTCCAGCAGAATTTAGTCCTAATTAAACACACCTGAACTAGCTAAATAAGGTCTTCAGGACCACTAGAAACTTCCAGGTAGGTGTGATTCTGGAAAGTGGCCCTCCAGGAGCAGAGTCCTAAACATTAGGGGTGAAGATATTATGGTCTGCAGGCTATTAAAGGAATATCATCTTGTAAGTCATTCAGATTAAAACTCATGAGGTCACACTAGTGTTGACAATGGCACCAAAGAGCTCCCTTTATAATCAATTAAACTGCCGCACGAGCTCACTGACTGAGTGAAAACTCCTGTTATAATGAAAAAGTCCTTACTGTACAGTGAATCTCTCATTTACATTGCGTTTATACTTTGCTAGTTATACCGAAACGATTCGCGAGCACGCAGGATTCTGACTTAGACGCTTCTGATTGGTCATTGTGTTCATGTGCTCAACCAGCATGTCCGTGATTGGCTACAATGCTCAGTACTCCAAAAACACATCATTAGAAACCTTTGTCTCACTTCACAGAGTGCCGCTCACACACACATGGGAACGTTTAAAAGCAGCTGCATATCAGCTGGTACTGGATCGACCCGGTACTACCAGTACTGCGGAAAGACTGGTATCATTATGTTTTGAAAATGTAAGTATTGACTTGGTACTGAAGTGCCCGTACTTTTGTCAACACTAGGTCACACATTTCAAAGCACCTGCTGGGTGGCTCTCCTCTCCCCCAGCTCATCTCGCAGACTGTCCAGGATCAGAGCACCAGCAGAATCCTGGGCACTCTGGACCATCAGCGCCAGGTCCAAACACCACCTCTCTTTCTCCAGGAGCCGGAGATTCCCACACATCTCTGACATCTCCTCCTGTGCAAAATTGACTCATGTTATGAGAAATTTTACATTTCAACTGTGAAGTAATCCTGATGAACCTGCATTGCATTGCATTCATAACATATATAAGTGCAACCCTTGTGCATCCTTAGGGGACATTTTTGTCTTTTTCTCTTCTTTTTTTATCATTTAATATTATTATTTAGTATTAATGCAAAAAGCATACATTTTGTGAAAATTTAATATTTTTATTGGAATTTTACTATTTCACACTCATTTCCTTTCATAAATCTATTTTACACACGATCCTGGGTCTATTTTTTTTTTACCTAAAGGACAAAAATGTCCCCATTGAAACCCATAAACGGCAATATTTAATCCCAGTGCTATTTAAGCATGAAATTATGCATTCTTTGTTAATAGGCTTTGATTATGTTGGTAAGGCATCACATTTTTAAAAATACTTTTTTTCCACCTGTTTACACCATTTCTGAGGTTTGGCCTATGGAGAAAAACTCACTTTTTTTCCTGTTTACTGCTTCGGCTGAAAAAAAGGCAATTGAATTGAAATTATGTAATTATAATTGTATGGGGGGGATGTATTGATATTGATATAGGAGTGTTGTTTGTGTGTGTGGTTACTGAGAAATTTGTGTGTGTTTGTGCGAGTTGCTAATAAATGGTAGTTGCTAATAAACTAATAAATGGTTTAGTTTTTTAGCTTGTTTGTTTTGTTTTGTTTTATCTGAAACTGCACAAAAATAATAATGCATCAAAATTAATGTTGTTGCTAATCATTGACATATCCAAGACTGTAATAATCCAAAACAAATTTGCTTAGGATCAAAATCCTGAAAATTAATGTATACTATATAATATTTTATGACCGTTTTTTGACATGGACATTTTTGTCCTCTAACACACACACCAGGTTTAAAACTGGTTCTGAATATAGAAAATTGGGGTAAACTTTTCATATGGCTCACCCTGACTGTCAGCAGCTCATACAGTAGAGCTGCTTTCTCCTCTTTGGTGTTTTTGGAAAGTGAACTAGCACGACCTCTGACCCCTGCGAGCGTGCCAGTGTCGGGACTGATCTTGCCTTCTCCTGCTGCGCCCTGCTGCGGGATACAAACAGCGGCCCTGTCCTGCTTCAGCCTGGAGATCCTTTGCAAAATTACACCGGCCTTGTCCTCAAACTCCTGTTCTGACAAGCTGCAGTTTACGGAAAGAGAGAGAGAAAAAGAGTGAGAGAGGCTTTTCAGATCTAAGACGATGTCAGATAATTTCATTATCAGACCAAATTAAGTGGATTGAATGATTGGTTTGGAAAGGTAATTGCGTGTTAAGCCAGTGTAATTAATCTAATTAGGACTGAAAATAAGACCAAAGCTTTGCTGAGATACTTGCACTCAGATTCAAGCTGCATACCAATTTCCTTTGAAAATATAATGCCAAAGGTGTGCAGATGAGATATTTATTCATCTGATGCACTAAAGCAAAAAAAAAGATTATAAAATAGCTTAATTTTTAGATTAAGCTTAAAGTTAAGAATAAAAAACTAAGAATTTTAAGTTAAATAATTTAGCTAGATGGCAACATTTATACACTCTCAAATAGTAATGTAACAAAGGCCGCTGTCGTATCGAAGTACAATTTTATGACATGGTAGTGTCCCAATACTCACATGCAGTATTATTCCAACTCAAAATCATGTACTTACTTACTGTCAAAGTACTTTTAGTGCATAGCAGAAGAATGGAATCGGGATACAACCAACAATTTTCAGTGCACTAAACTTAATATTGTATGCTGCATGGGATGGATAGGAAGCAAATTGAGATTCAGCCTTGGATATCTCTGTCTAACTAAGGCTCTGTCCCAAATGCCACCCTAAGCTTATGAGATCCTTCTCTGAATACTTTGGTGACATAATACAGCACCTTTCTGAAACCTCGAATGGAACACCCTGCAGTTACCCTTACGAAAAAGAAGTTTATTCAAGTGTGCTATGTATACTTAAAAGTATACTTTTATATACTAGAAAGTGGGCCAATTTAGTCCCAAGGAGTATTGAAAGAGTACACTTACAAGTATACTACTAGTACACTGATATTTGTATACTTACTACATAAAGTATACTTAAAAATATACTTGAACTTTACTTAAGTATACTTACTAAAATAAACTTGAAGTATACTACTTTTTGGTAAGGGTTTGGTAGGTAGCGTTATGGTTAGGTAACGTTTTTTAGGGTTAGGTTAAGTAGTCCATTGAACCGACTTAATTTCTCACATGAAATTTCATCAAGCAACAGTAAATGTGATCGCACCTTAAGAGACTGTATATAAAGCAATAACCTGTTTGGTCTGGTCTCAGCAGTGCCCTCTGGTGGACTGGAGGATGCCTCGCCTGTGTCCAAGTTCTCGTTTGTTGACTTTGCGAGGTCTGGCTGGGGTGTGCTAATTGTTTCTGTAAGAAAAAAATACCACTGTATTTATATGTGTGTGGTTGTACTTTCATGAGCTGTAACTCAAAGAGTGTGCAGCACCTGCATTCTGTTGTTTTGTGGCTTCGCACAGGGACAGCAGGTCTCTGTAAGCCTCCTCACACTCCTCACTGTCAATCAAAGAGCCATTATCAGCATACAACTCACACACGCACACTCCTCCTGCCAATCTTAGAGGCCAAAGGTCAAGGTTTACAATGTCAAAAAGAAACAAGAAAACACTTTCAGGATCAGTTTTAGTAACGATTATGATATAGACAAGTGACTAAGCGCTGATCCTGGATCAGTGGTGATTTTACCACTAGTGTAGTGTGAAACAGAGGTAAAGACAGCTGCACACCAGTATGCCAGAGCCATGTGTAGAGCCGAGCTGTCTGCCTCCTGTCGGCTAAGACTCATGCTCAGCTGCTCCGATTCTCCTTTCTTTTTGACCAGTGCGGCATTCAGACGCTCATTCCGAGCTTTCAGTCGCTCCAGACACCTGCTCAGAGAAAACACACCTGTAAGAAGAGATTCAACAGTTCCAGCATTCAAACATTATTCAATAATTAGGGTGAAATATCATTCTGTCTAATCAATTGACCAAATTTCAGAAACTTCCCCGGCTCAAATTCTTTCTCAAGAAAGACAAACATAAATAGTTTACTGAATGTATGTTTACAGAGTAATCCACTATTTTGTAGAAGGGGCTCAAAATGACAATTTTAACCTGAGGTTAGAAGCCAAATAACAGGGGGTTAAAATGACTTTAGAAAGATGGCAGCATCATTATTTTATTTGTGCACAGAGACTGGTAGGTCTATTAGTAAAATCGGTTACCTTTAGCAATCTTTGCTGCATTATATGCAAATTTTAACAGTTAAAAAAAGGGAAATACACTTCTTGTGTTTTTTCCTGAAATTTGCATGTTTGCAACTCAAGACGTATCAAAGATATTTTAATGCCCTTTAAGACTTTAGTTCTTAACCATTTTTCTTCTGGTATTTTCATTTGTAAAGCCCCTATTGTTCCTTTCCAGAGATATATGGATTTCATTGCGGCTCCTTGAGTGAATTATTAAATTGTACACGTTTTCAGTGGTCAAAAACCAAATGTGGGTCACTTTGCATACAGATGATACTTTTTTCTTTTGAAGAGAATTGTCTGAAAAACAAATAATGTTGAAATAAAAAAAAATGTATCTTGTTTCACTCTATAAAACCAACTTCATAGAACATACCTGTCTGAGTGCTAAAAATGCACTTAAATGGACAAGCTGAGGCACAATAACTTGCTCTCAGTTAGACTCTATATTATGAATCAGTTTCAGGAATATTTGCATGACAGGATTCTGTTCATTTTAACAGCTTCTGAAGCTACCAAGAGTTTAAATCAACCAGTTAATAACCATCCAGAATGCCCTAGCAACCGAATAGCCACTCAGAACACCTTAGCAACCAGTTGACAACCATTTTGAGATGATAGGAGATTGTCTGGGAGTGAAAGGAGGGAATGGAATCAAGACAGACTCAAACTTGACAACCACAGCTCAATATTTTAGGAAGGGTTTTGATGGTGTTGTCTTTGGATGCAGATCATGGCCAGTGTAATCCGAGTCAATACGGAGTAACAAAACAATTTCATCTCTCACCTCTGCAGCTTATCCATCTCAGCCTGAAGCGCAGAATCAACAGTGCAGGGAGACGGAGGGGAGTCCGGCCTGAAGCCGGGCAGTTTGCGGGACAGCAGAGGGGATCCAGGATATGGAGGAGAGGAAAAGCAAGGGCTCGAAGTTCGAATGATGGACTGACAGGAGGAGAACAACTCACTCCATACAGCCATTTCCTCTTCAGGTCCACTACCTGTAAAAAGATGAGTTCAGCAACACAAGTTATGAAATTATAATTATATGGCTGAATTAAGAAATCAAAGTGTGTTTTAATGCCTAATGAACATCGTTTCATCAAATCTTTAAAGATTTTTTTTTTTTTACTAATCAGCTGATCAATATATATTATTGTAAAAGTATTTAACTTCAGACAATTATAATGTTGGCCCAACAACACATTATTTATGATTGCTAAAAATGCACTATATAATATTTAAAGCTACTCTTTGATATGAATAAGAATATAATAGTGTATATATTTATTTTAGATTATTCAATATTAATAATATTAATAGTATTATTACTTTGAGGTGTGCCACTGATATACAAGGTTAATATAATTTAATTTAATTGCAGTTGCATATGGACTTTAAAATATTAAATCATATTTTAATATAATTATATGCCTCTTTATGGCACCATTAATTTATGTCCTATACCACATGGCAATTTTACAGTTATTATTAAAATTATAACTTTTTAGATGTTTGCACTCTATTATGAAGAAAATTCATTACGTTTTTTTTATCACACACACACACACAAAACCTCATCAAAACAAAATGTGGCAAAACACCACTAATGATGCTTTTATATTAACTTTATTATAATTAATAACATTATTAATTATTATTATTATTATTATCCAAATTCCTAGAAATTATTATCATTATTTTATTAAAACAACAAAAGTATTATTGTTATCATTAATACCAAAAATTAAATCACATTTTGATATAATAATTATATTATATCATTTTTAAATATATTTTTAATAATTCACTATATGTCTATTTATGGCACTATTAATTCATGTCATATACCAGATGCCAATTTTACAGTAGATCTGTAGTAGTAAATGAGTTTTATGATTGAAAATGTAAACATTTTCTCTATTAATGATTGATTAGGAATCCTAATCAACCTTTTCCTGTAGCCACTTTTTCTCATCCTCAAGATCCATCAGCATTCTTTCAGCACCCACAAGCTCACCCTGTCGGCTCTTCAATGAGGTGTTGAGGTCTTGGTTGTGTTTGTACAGCGAGAGAACATCCCGCTGATACTGACGTCTCTCATCAGGGGGCAGAGCAGAGGGGTATGAGATCCCCAAATCCGTCTCCATCTCCTCCAGCACCTGGGGCAGATCACACACATCAGAGCTGAGGGACGTTCAGATGCACATACAGGATCCTACGGCGGGAGCTACATTGGCACCTGTGTGGCCTGAACCCAGCTCTCCTGGGCTGCAGAGAGATGCTTTGTCCAGATTGTCTCAGCATTCTGAGTGTGCAGCCTGAGCATGTTCCTCCCCTGACCGCTAGAGGCCTCAAGAGCAGAGAGAGCCGTCTGCAGCTCCTTCCAAAGCCCACTGCTGCCCCCTGTGCAACAACAGAGGGTTTTTTGTGTGTGTAAATTTCCAAATTGTTATGCAGTATTATTATTATTCAGATACACTTAATAAAACAAATACAAACAAAATATTAAAGCAAACTATTAGGGAAAATGTGACAAAACACCATTAATGATGTTGAACTTTATTATTATAACAACATTTATATTTTTATCAATAATTATAATGATTAATTAGTTATGAGCCAAATTCTTGTTTGAATACATTTTTGATTTACTATTGTATTCTTAAAATACAATTATCATTATCATTCTTTAATGTTTTCTGTACAAAAGTTTTTATTTTTAAAAAATATGATGATGATGATTATTATTAAATAAGTGTTTCATAAAGAACTTCTTAGGTGTTTGCACTCCATTATGAAGAACACTCAATAGGTTTTTAATTGTAAGTGTTTTTTTCCCTCCCAACATCCATATTCATTCTTACAAAAAACCGCATCAAAAGAAAATGTGGCAAAACACCACTAATGATGTTGAACTTTATTAGTATTAATAACATTACTTATTATTATTATTATTATTATAACCCAAATTATGATATAAAAATGATGATAATTGTTTTATTATTAAAACAATAAAAAATATTATAATTATGATGATGGTGATAATTACTACTACTATTACTATTAATACTACTACTAATAATAATAATAAAGTTTTAGATGTTGGCACTCCATTATGTAAAAAGCACACTCTGAAAAATGCTGGGTCAAATATTACATTTACATTTACATTTAGTCATTTAATCATTTAGAAGACGCTTTTATCCAAAGCGACTTATAACCCAGCACTGGGTTAAAAAGGGACAAACCCAGCTATTGGATTGTTTTGACCCAGCGGTTGGGTTGTTTTGATCCAGCAGGTGGGTTGTTTTGATCCAGCAGGTGGGTTGTTTTGTTGCGCTGCCTGTACAAGTCTCTTGCGGTCTATCATGAGAAATCACGAATGTTGATTGACTGCTTTTGCTTTATACAAAACAATATTTAAAAACGTGTTTTTAAACCAAGCTAATCTAGGTTTAGATTTTAAAATAAGCCCTTTCTTGTCATTTTTTGCTGCTGCTTGCGAGGGTTTTTATTGAAATGTTTGCTTTTATTTCCTTTTTTTTTCAGTCGCCTTTAAATATTAAGTAAGAAGTATATATAGTATTTAGTATAGGTTTGGTTTATCAGAATCATAATCATGTTTACACATACGAGGAATTTGTTTTCGTGACAGAAGCTTCCACAGTGTGACAGAATGATAGTGACAAAAAAACACAGATAATAAAAAATAGATCAAGTAAAATAAGGAATAAAAAATATACAAGTCGACAATTTTATGTACAGGTATATAACAGTTATATTGTTATTCTTCGTTTATTGGTGTGATTTACTGTAATATGTGGTGTTCTGATGTTGTCAGGTTGTCATGGAGACCCCTGAGCCCGGTCAGGCAGATGGTGAGGAGCGGATGATGGAGCTGAGACCCAGGACCCGCTCCAATCCGGAGGGTGCAGAGGACCGGCGCAGCAGCACCGGCAGTCTGAACAACAGCCTTGCATCGCCACCGCCGCCGCCGCCACCACAGCCGGCCGTGGGCAGCCGTGTGGAGGGAGAGGGAGAAGCGGCCAGCTCCGACAGCCCTCCGACTTCTGCCACCGCCATCTCAGCCACCGCACCTGCAGCTGTTACTGCGACGGGAAGCTCCACGGCCAGCATGCCTGCCATAGCTTCTGCGGTGAAGGAGAGACCCAAACCCCCTCAGCCGTCCATGAGCACCCAGATCCCCCCATCAGCTGAGTTACACCTGCGGGCGCCACGAGTCAACTGCCCAGAGAAAGTGGTAGGTCTGTCAATAACTTCCAGGCTTTCAGGATATGTGCATCTGAAAACACATCTGTCAGTCAAGTTTTCTCGCAATATCTTTTTTTTTTTTTATACAGATCATCTGCTTGGACCTTTCAGAGGAGATGTCTCTACAAAAACTGGAGTCGTTTAATGGGTAACTTTACAGTTTTTCAGTTAAACCGTTTCCTTGGTTTATCACATTCATTTAGAAAAGACGAATGTATTTGAAATACATTTTCTGTGAATGATTTATATTTCCAGGTCCAAGACGAACGCCTTAAATATTTCACAGAAAATGATTGAGATGTTTGTGAGAACCAAGCACAAGATCGACAAAAGGCATGAGTTTGCTCTGGTGGTGGTGAATGATGATGCCATGTGGGTGAGTGGACAGAAACACAGCTTCAACTACACTGTCACTCTGAAATTAAAACTCGCTGTAATTTCATGAATCTGTCTTTGCGTAGTTGACTCACTGATGGGTCAATGACATGACGCTCTTTTTTTGTCTGGTTCTGTTAATTTAATCAGAAGGATTCAAAAAGAATGAAATTCTTTAAAAGTAATCTTTTTATTATTTCACAGAAAATGCTTTAACAAAATTGTTTACTGACAGTGTTATTTATATACTATTATTATTGTACTTTAGTATTATTTTATTTGCTTTTGTTTTATATTTTCATTTTAGTTTTAGTTTATTAATTTGGTTATGAGCTTTTGACATTTTCAGTTTTTTATATTTCTATGTAGATTTAATTGAATTTGATTCATTTTTTTAATTTTAGTACTTATTTCAGTGAGATGCCAAGGCAACATGTTTAGTAGTTTTTCATTTAAGTTTTTCTTGTAATATATATATATATATTGTCTCCAGACCTAAACCCTATTGAGCATCTGTGGGGCATCCTCAAACGGAAGGTGGAGGGGCGCAAGGTCTCTTAACATTCACCAGCTCGGTGATGTCGTCATGGAGGAGTGGAAGAGGACTCCAGTGGCAACCTGTGAAACTCTGGTGAACTCCATGCCCAAGAGGGTTAAGGCAGTGCTGGAAAATAATGGTGGCCACACAAAATATTGACACTTTGGGCCCAATTTGGAAATTTTAATTTAGGGGTGTACTCACTTTTGTGGCCAGCGGTTTAGACATTAACGGCTGTGTGTTGAGTTATTTTGAAGGGAACAGCAAATTTACACTGTTATACAAGCTGTACACTCACTACTTTATATTGTAGCAAAGTGTAATTTCTTCAGTGTTGTCACATGAAAAGATGTAATAAAATATTTACAAAAATGTGAGGGGTGTACTCTTGTGAGATACTGTATGTAAATGTGTATATATACATACAGGGAGGACCCTCATGAATAGAAAGTCTCTCAAAATATCAGATTATTTTTATGACAAGGCAAGGTTAGTTCAGGTTGTGAAGTATCATGTTTTACGACTTTACAAAAACAAAAATAATTTTAAAACTTAAATATTTAAGACACATGCATGTATTCATTGTGTGTGGAAAATATGATAAATACTTTTTACTTGATGGTTACATCCAGCATTTTTTTATTTACTATTACAGTATTTACTATATATTTTTTTTACTTTCTTCTACTTTATATTTAGTTTTCATTTTAACTTTAGTTTAAGTTTTAGTAATTTAATGTGCTTTTGTCATTTTCATTTTTTTTTCAAATATTTCTATTTATGTATTTTTATTTCAGTTTTAGGTTTAGTAATGTTGGTACTTCTACTTAAACCTTTATTTCAGTTAGTTGCCTGGGCAACATTTCTGATTTTCATTTGTTTTTTAAATATTTTGTTGACAAAAAGGTATAAATGTTTTACAAAACCATATGAAACCAACATGAATATAAAGAGTACATTTTAAAGAACCGAAATAACATATGCAGGAGTAGTATTGCTTGACATATAGAGCACGTTACACTGCTGTCAGTGCTTGACGTTCATATGAACGACCACTTTAATTTGAATCTCTTTCACACAGTTATCAGGATTCACGTCTGATCCGCGAGAGCTGTGCAGCTTTCTGTACGACCTGGAGACCAATGTCTGCGAGTCCTTCAGTATCCTTATTTAGAGAGTTTGGCTCATTTTTTGTGCTTGTGGAATCAGGTCGGTCCAGATACACATTAATAAGGGATGCAGAGGAAGCAGTGAGAATGAATCATGATCACACTGATCATTTCCTTAACTTTTACCTGTAGATCTGGAAGATCTCCTCAATGTCATGTGAGTAGTTTTTGTCTTCTGTGTTCGATAATTAGACTGCTATAGATTAAAATCCCTCCTGTTCCCTCTGGTTTCCTGCTCTTGTAGCTTGCAGAAAATTGAACTTCCTCAGATGGAGAACATTCAGACCATCCCACCTCCTTTCGTAATCCGGACTCTCCTCATCTTCAGCCGGCATGCTGGCATGCTTCAGTTCAACCCTTCTGATGCTGCCAAAGTGAGTTTGTTTGACACGTTACTACATAATTATGAGTCAATGACAAGAACACTTTTTTTACAGTGACTTCGAAATCTGGGGGGAAATCTTTCACAATCATGCAAAAAGTTGGATTCCTATAGCAATTACTGGACTTTACCTGTGAAAGTTTGCAGAACTGTGGTAAATGTGACCTCTCCTTTGTCCACCAAATCAGTATACAGAAAAAAAAATCAAAAACAAAAACCAACATATGAGGTGATATCAGTGACGACCCCTAAAATCCTTCTCATGACTGTAAGTCATGTGGTACAACTCCTTAAAAAAAGATATGTATAAATTTATAATTTATGAACGTTGGTTAAAAATGCTTTTTATTTTGAAATATATATATATTAAAATACTTTTTGGAAATAATCATGAAGATGTGTTCATCCACATATATTCAAATTGTAAGGACAATTACTTTTTAATTAATGGTTACACCACATTACACTCATTCAAATTAAACAGAATTTTTATTGAAAATAGCATGTTTTTCAAAACCATATAAAATCAACATGGACACAAAAATTCTTTATCGTTCAGCTTTAAACAAAATTAATCCTTGAGAAATTTAGTTCAAAACAGGATTATAGTTAACTAAAACTAAAACCATAAAAACATTTTCATTACTTGAAAAAAAAGGTTAA